AAAGACTCACCCGACATATGTCCCCACCGGCTAACTCCAACATGTGAGAAGGACCCTTACCAGACATCCGAGCACGATCATACTCCCGAACAAATCCCTCGGTACTCAACAAGGGCAAATCATGGTCCGACACATCCCAATACGACTCCTTACCGTCGCGATTCACACCATAGGTAAACAATTGTTTCCCTCCCCCACCATGGAAAGCATAAGTCTCCTCTGGATCTACCCGTGGACGCTTAGGCACAGCCACATACTCGGTATCCACGCTCTTTCCCTTGCCACGATCCCTCTTAGGTGGACGCTCCTCCACTTCGCCAGCACTGCTACGATCATCTGCGACTACTCGAGGAATGTCTACATGGACCTCTTCTCGAAGCAAACCACTTGAAGCACCTCCCAACTTAGAGGGCACCTTCTTCGATGCCTTCTTCGACGTCCCATTCGCCTTAGCCCGAAGTGCCGCGAATGTGATACCCCCATCTACAACAAATGACAAACACATAAGAAAAATGGGGTATACACTACCAAAAAAAAAAAAAAAAAAAAAAAAAAAACCACAAGTCAAGACAACAAAAGGATATACGATGCTGACCCTTCGCCGCCGGTATCAAACCCCTCGGATCAAATTCCACATCACACAACCCAGATTCCTCAATCATCTTCGCCATATTCTCAGTTATCGTGAAACTCTCGCAGGTAGGACTCCAAACCACGGGAACGTCAAAAGTGGGAGCCTTCACATAAAAAAAACAGGTCTTCCACTTCCCCAAAGACAACTTCACACTCTTCACAAATTGGTAAGGAACGAGAGGATGAAAACAAAAGAAAGGCCCTTTGTTGGGCCGATGTAGCGTAAATAATGCCTTGAATAAATTCACACTCACAGGCAAACCCACTAGGGACACTCTATGATGAAACGCCTCGAACATAAGAAGTGCAGTCGGAGTTAACTGACTGTACTCTATCTTGAATTCCTCGCAAACCTTCAACAAAGTCGGATGCGGGGTAATCTGAGAAGTACATGTCAAGTACCCCAAAAATACCGTATGAAACCCATCGGGTGGCAAATACAAGCGATCGCCCATCCGAGGCAACAACAACTCCACATTACTTGGCGCTCCAGATAAACGACGAATAGAGCACAGATGCTCTTCCGTCAACACACTATCAAAATCAACTAAGTCCAAATTAATTGGCTTACTTTTCTTTTGCCTCCTCTTATCGACCTCAACATCGCCCGGTGGAATATCATCTTCTTCCTCCTCTTCATCCGTCAGCTCAACTTCACTACTTGGCACCGCATGATCACTCGCCAAAGGGACTTGATCAGAATCATCGCTATCGCTCCCAAAATCTACGATTTGGCGTCGAGAATAACGCCCACTAGCCACTACTCCATCTACTTGCTCACTAACATGAGTACTCGCTTCAACATCGTCACTCCAAGATTCAATGATTTCTCGCCGTTCAAAACTACCCCCATTAAAAATACCACGTGCACCAACACCCTCGACAGTTTGCTCATCGATTTCGCTCGAACCGGGTCGAAAACGGACCTCCAACGCGCCCGCACGCGCGCGCGTGACCCCAAGAGGGCCTGATTCACGCGCGCGCGCGTTATCTGCTGCCACGGAGACACGTGGCCTCTCCCCACTCGCCCCAGCCCGCGCATCTGCTTCACTCGGCCCACCCGACGCGCGCGCGCGTCGCTGCACACTCCTCCCCTCCACGCGCGCGTCAACACCAACACGTGGACCAATGGCGCGCGCGCGTCCACCTAACCCTCCAACCGACGCGCGCGCGCCCCCCTCCCTCTCCTCCACTGACGCGCGCATGCGTCCCTCGAAGACCGTGCCTGACGCGCCCACCTCACCAGCTCTCTCCTCTCTCCTCTCGTGGGAATTGTGCCAGCCCCCACAATGGCGGCTCGGCTCGGCTCCTCACACAGATTGGGAGGGTTGGCTCCGCGGCTCGAGCCGTCAGCCGTACCAACCCTACCCACCACCCTCCTTTTCTCTTCGATTCGCACACAAGCCGACGCGAATCCGACTTCCGCATCTGTTACTACCCCCTTTTCGCGTTCAAGACTCACCGTACCAAAAGTTTTCTTACCCCCTTCCACCGGATCTCGAAGTTTAATTCGTAAAGATTTCGAATTACCCGAGTTCGACATGAGATAAAATTTTTCTCCGAAGAAATAATCAAGCAACAAAAAATTTCTACTTTACCGATATAAAATAAAAGAAGAGAAAGCAGAAGAAGACCTAAGGTTAAAGATACATACCCATATTTATTACGCAAGAGTTGAAGTTTAATTCTTTCCACCACAAAAGGAGTATATTTATTTGGCCCCTGGTATATTATTTAAAACCCTTAAATATATACCTCGCTGCCAAATAAATACCATTATTCCTTATTCAAATTAAGGAATTAATTCACCACCAACGGAAACAATTCACTCCACGACGCAATTAACTCTCGACACGACCCGGGTCCCTCTACACAAGTCTCCGTCTCGAATCGAGAGTTGGGGGGCTTAATGATATACCAAATTGGGCCGACCCAATGGACCCCAATTTATTTAATAATTAGGCCCAATACACGAAAGTATTCGGGCCCATTACACGAAAACCCAAGCACCTTCAAAGTAAGGCTTGGGCCCAACAAAATAAGCCCAACTTAATCAACGACCTATAAATAGAAGTTTTATTCATTTGTAAAGGTACGTTCTCATTATTGACAATTCACCTCGAGTTTTATTCTCTCTACTCTCTCTACGATCCGTACATCTGACTTGAGCGTCGGAGGGGTTTCCGCCGGATCAACCCCCGGCTTAGTTCACGTGCACTCATTTTGTAGGGACCTCAGGAACATCGAGTTGATTAGCTACGGATCAGCTTTGCTCTCCCAGCTCGTTTTCTATACTACCCTAGGTGAGCTATATTTTAGCTTCATCAATATATATATATATATATATATATATATATATATATATATATATATTAGAGTTTGGACAGGTCAGCCAACAGAAGTTAGGGAGATGGGAAGTATTGCAGATATTGTCTTCTTCTGTTCATCATAAACATCACCCACGACAAACACAGCTTTAATAAACAGTCTTATAATTCAATAAAAAAATAAAAAAAGAAAAAAAAAAGTAAAAAAATAAAAAAAAAACAATTACAAATTTTATGCATAGTTGTATGGGCTAGAGTTTCCCGAAGGTTATAGAGCCCGAGCCCGAGCCCGAATGAGGTTTCCTTGTTTGTTTTACTCTATCATTGGCCCAGGCCCAAACAAATCTCTTCCTTATAGACTTCTACTAAGAAAAATATTTATAGTATTGTCTTCTACTAAATTTGCTGTCATGTCCAAAAAAAATTACTTTTTCTTTTTCTTTTTTTTTTGGTTTTGTTACAAATAATATGTGGCAATTATACTTCAAATCTGTTATTATATGAGTAATTCCGACCGAGAGAATATACTTCTTGTTGAACGGATTTTAAGAATTAAAGATTGAGGCCTAATCACACACCACTCGTACTAATTTGGAAAGTTCTTTGCGCATACAAACGACTAGTGGTGTAAATAAGTTGAGCCGGCTCCTGAGCTCGGTGAGCCGACTCACAAAAGCTCAAACTCACCAAAACTGTTAATCTCGGCTCGTTTACAGCCATACAAACGACTACAAAAACAGTTACTTCAACAAATTGGTAAAGAAGACCATAGTAAGAATTTGTTTCAACTATAACAAGAAAAAGTACTTTTATGAATCCACCCATAGAGGATAAAAATAAAATTGTTTTAAATGTAGGTAACTGAAGACAATAATCTCCATCTGCAGGTTTCCTATAATATCCCTCTCACATTCTTGAATTTGATTATTCCATAACATTAAATATATGTATTATCGATCATAATGCAGGTTTTCGGCATGTAATAATAGCAAATTTGATTAGACCCTTCTTATATCCTTGGATCATCAACGGCATCGCCAGCGCTCCCCTTATTGTCTTCCATCCTAATTTAAAGAAAAGAGCCTTCGTTAAATACTTTGCACTATGCATTTCAATGGAGAAAACGCAGTTTGTAAATTTAAATTACCGCTCGATAACAATGAAGTGATCCCTTTCCATGTGAGTGCTGATTTTATTACAGCCGGCCAAAATGGAGCAACGTACTGCGACCAATCTTCAGACTTAATATCCTGTCATAACATTTTCAAGAAAACCAAAATGTCAAATCGAAACTAATAGTCGAAAATTTTATGAAGTAAGGAAAATAGTTACCTCGAGAGAGTGGGATTGGAGTAATTTAACATAGTCTGCAGTTGAACACCATGCCGGAAGATAATAAGCATCGCATATTTTATCCAACAGATTTTTCTCATCGGGAAGAAGTGATTCTTCGGAGGGAGATAAGTCCCTATGACACCATGTAACTACAATAATTGTTCCACCGGGTGCAGCCACACGAACCAGCTCATTCACAAACTACACAACATTTTTTTTCCGAATTTACATTAATGATGTAAAAAGATCATTACACAGCCAAGAAAAAAACAGAGCAAATTTATATGATGAAACCTTTGTTTTGTCTGGCATGTGTTCGCCACTCTCCATGGACCAAACCAAATCGAACTGCCCATCGGGAAACGGTTGGTTCAATGCATCGGCAACTTGGAACGATACCTGAGATTGTTTCATATTTAATCATTTAGCTGCGAAATTTCAATTAAATGGAATGCTGATAAATGATTAATGAATAAAAATGTAACAAAAAGTTTACATTGGCATCTAATCCTTGAGCAGAAGCAAGTTCTTGAGCTCTCTGTGCTTGCACAGGGCTAAGAGTGATGCCTTGAGCTTTAGCTCCATATTTCTTGGCTAAGTACCTAGAACTGCCTCCTATACCGCATCCTACATCGACTATACTCTTCGGCTTCTGCACTGAATCATCTGCAAAGTTTTCCATTCCCCAAAAAAAAATTGATGAAATTAAATGTGAGCAAATATCAACATCTACAAAGAGAGAACTAAAAAATCGGAAGGTGCGTGGTTTAATTAAATCCACATCGATGCTAAAAAAATGAGTGATGTTCATGTTCTTCTCCCATCTCTTCCTGGAGTGAGATATTGGAATTACATTGAATTCAAAATCTTCATCATGGCTGAAATTGTGTAATATCTGAAAATAACTGATTTAGATATATATAGTACTTGAATAACACTATATATGCTAAACGATTTCAGATTTATGAGAAAAAATTGATGTTGCAAATTGGAATTAATGTGTATTCTCGGCATGAAATCGACGATGAACAGTAAATTAGGTTTTCCGCTGTAATCTAATCTATATTTGTTTATCCGTAAATTGTATAAGATTTAGGGACGAACCAGAGAGAGAAGCGAAGCGGAGGGACTCCTCAATCATACGGATCTGAGCGGAGCGGTGGTCGGAGAGTGAGACGTCGGAGGCAGGCTCGTAGAATCCATGGTGCATGTGGTCCCCCCACACGTCCTCCCACACTCCCGAAGACTGGTCGTAGAATTCCGCGATTCCTTTCTTCAAGGTCTCCGTCGCCGACGTCGCAGCCGCGCTCGTAGTCATCCTCCTCCGTCGTCCTCCGCCGCTGCTGCTGCTGCTGCTGCTGGTGCGAGTGTGAGTTATTCTTCTTCTGCTGGTGGTGCAGCCAATCAGAAGCGCTGGTTGTGAATCAACGGTGCGATTGGTTCTGGGAATAGAAAGAGTGGGCCCACCGCAGAATAGGCGCCTACTGTACTGGCACGTGCAAACTGCAACCCCACCACCACCAGTTATCACCACCATGGCGTTTTTATATATTATAATAATAGAAGAAAGGATATTTTAATTTAATGAGTGCTCCTGAATTCTGATCGTGTAAAAGGAATCTGTGGGAAACGGTGATATAGAGAGTTTGATAATTGGGTAGTTGTGAACAGTCCACGATGATTGGAATGAAGTCGACACGTGTTGATTCCTGATTCGATGAGTTCAGCTGAGTGAAGTTCTTCACTGGGGGATTTAGGAAGACGATTTAAATATATACCTGCATCGTCTACTTTCTTATGTTAGTATTAGAGAGTGTGATTCCCAAAAAATTAAACTAATGTGAGTGTACCATGATTAGCATTATTTTTAACGTGGTTAAATAAAAAACTTGCAGCCAACCATATTTAACGCATTTTTTAACACTCACATTCGATCGCGCTCCCATTGTGATTTTCCATCCACATTTTTATTGCAATGACAATTGTTTCGGAGAATATATTGGGTCTAGTTCATAATAAAAATAGAATTTTATTTCTTGAAAATATGGTTGAAAAATAATGGCACTTCCAAGAAAAATATGTTTGTTTAGAATGTGTTTGTCAAATATCAATCTTCATTAGGAGAGTTGTTAGCTAGCCTTGACAATAGGGTAAATGTTTAGGGTTCGAGTTTCCCCTTCCAGTACTTTCCTTATAATGAACTTGAATTTACTCAAAAAAAAAATGTGTTTGTGAAATAACAAAAGAATTAAAATTTAAAAAATCTCTCTTTATCTTGAAAATGTTTTTGTTTAGACCATATAGTAAAAAAAAAAAAAAAGAATAATATAATTGATATTATACACGAGTAACACGACAAAATGCGGAATGGGTTCGAGTGCAAAATTCGAGGCCTGATATAATCTGTCAATTTATTATAGATATTAACATAATTGCCACAATTGGATGATTGCATTGCATATCCAAGATCTAGAATTTGAAAAATACAAAATAATAAAAATCTCCTCGAGGTTCATAAAAACTAATTTAATATATTTTGTGATTGCTCTAAAAAATAGGAAATTTAATGATTTCACATGTTTCATTGCTGCTATATCAGAGTAGAAAGATGCACCCACGGAACATACAACAATAATATTTTTTTTTACCGTTGATCTGCACGCACTAATATTAGTTTGTTTGTGTACGAATAGTAAAAATTTACCAAATATATTTCACCCGATATAGCATATAATAGACCGCTATTACTCTTCGCTTTCGCCGGTTCATCTTGGATACATATTCACTTGTTACTATATTTACATTAATTGGTACATGTATGATGTATCTAATTATGGGTGTACCGTGAACTTGCAACACTGGCGTACAACTTTTTCATCACGTTCGTCGGTCGGCACTTACTTTATGAATAAATAGTATTCTAATTAATTTTCTTCACCAAATATCACCACCCTTCAATATAGTAATTTATAGATTAATTACTGCTATTAAATGAACTCTTCAATTTTAGGATTTTCTTCTTTCTTCCTTTATTTTATATATTTCATGTTTTTATTACAACAACATCATATAAAAACAACATTCATAATTAATTCATTACAGTTGATATTAGTGAAAAAAGTGTAGAGGAAAAGATAAATAAAAAAACCTGGTGTAAGTGTCAAAGTCCAAAAGCCACTCTCTGCACATAATCAGGTCTCCTTTTGCTGGGCATCCGAAGCAACCCTGTCATCTGTAGCTCTATCACTGCCCTGCAAAATTCAGCTCTGCACACCATCCATTAAGGACTTCAAATTATCACAAAATATATACTTAATAATAATAAAATACAAAAATAGCGTTGAAGGATACTGAATATCGGCATCGCTTCTGTTCTTAGTTTGTTCGTTAGAATCTTTCGGTTTCTTCGGTGATGGTGATGGTGATGATTTCAATCTCTTCTTCGGTTTTTGTACTTGTACACGTGTTCCGGTAACAATTGATTTGAAAGAGTGATACCATTCATGAAGATTGATGAGGTCACCGTGCTCTTGAGCCAGTGAATACCTACACGCAAGCAAATGTAGCAATTGATTGTATTGCCGTTTAATTATGACCTAAAAAAGAAAAAACACTTTCTCGAATTAATATTATCGCTTGAGAACTAGAAGAAAATTCTGGTTTTATTGGATTATATGACAAAAAATCCTTTACGAAACTGTGCAATAATATGAGCTCGTATGATGCCTCTTAAACTGTTAATTTGAGAAGATTCGCATTTTCGAACACTGATGAAAAACGGAACTCCAAAAATAAATTTTTGCATTCTCGTTTGAAGGAGGACGACGTGCACCACTTACATTATAGAGGTATTATGCATGGACGGGACTGGCATGCCACTGTTCTTGCTGCAGCAAGAGCACTTGAGGAATTTGTTGGACTCTAAAAGGTCAACCTGGATTCTTCTTCTCGGGTCTCCGATCAATGCCTAATATGATTAAAACACAACATCAATGAGTTAGAGTATTTGCATCCAAACATTCGGTGATTATATAAGAATAATACTTAATTTGTTAAGTTGCTTCAACCATCTCATGATTGTTCGATATGAGCCTACAAACTTTTATCAGCCCTATGAAGATTTTGAATTCACATTGCTGATTTGGAATAGCTATGAATTATAGGCAATCGAATAAAATGAAGAATGAATACAGCAAACCAAAAATGAAAAAAACTATGTACAAGTCATATAGGAGTATGTTGAAAGCTCAAAAACAGTTATTGAATCGAAAATTTTCAGAATACGTAACTGTTTGAAGTTTTTCGGCATCGTCGAAGAAGACTATTTCATTAAACGGTATAGACTCAATGGGCTGGATATATTCCCTGGTTCATCAGCAAAAAAAAAAAACAAGTTAGAACTTCTAATAAAAACACAAACCGTGGATGTATGGATCAGATGATTTCAAACCAAACATAACACGGCATGATTTAAAAAAGCATCGTTCACGTAATAACCATTCAGCGGTGGTGGTATAATTCAGGAAATGCTCAATAGCGTAACTTTTTTCCATTTACAATTTTCAGACCTCGGATTGAAATTTTGAATAACATAATGACACCAGAAATGTTGACATATCGGGGATAAAAGTTGGGGTATAAAGTGGAGCTCTTACCCGACAATACATTGTAGAAATGTGGCAACTTTCTCATTGACTGTGGCTTTATCTGTTTTCTCATTTACTTTATTCCTTGCTGCTGCCTGCCTCCTGTGATATTTAAAAAAAATCAAACAATTTGATCAATTCAATTAACTATGAAATATTAGATCTTAGTTCCAACAAGTTTAGATATAACTTGAAAGATACTTTATAAGGCCAATTCAAAGAAAAAAAGTTGAAAGATATAATACAGTTGTGTTGCTGAATGTATCATTCGATCATAGGTAAGGCGGTAAGAAAAGTTACCTGGGTGTCTCTGTTTGATCAAGTTTTGGATGATTCGCCTCAAATGTTGTCAGGGAATGTAGCTCCTTTACTTTTTCATGAATCTGGGAATTAATGTCCAAATATCCAAATCAGATATAGACGCAAGGAATAGAATGGCTATATGACTATATCAGTCATCGTCAATTTGAAACAGATGCTGCAACAAGATCAACCTCATAAACAGAGAAGGTAAACATCAGGAACAATAAAGAATAACTCAAATATGATAATATATCCATTACGACATAAAATACAGAATACTCGATAAAAATTGTTATCTCGCCAGTCTCATCAATCAACCCTATTAAAGTACTTCTTTATGCAGTTAAAATTTTAGTTATGTCGTGAATAATATAATGACAAAAGAGTTCACTAAAAACTTTAGTAGTTTTAAAGGATAATTATATATAAATTATAGTATCGTATCACTTTGCAAAAGCACAAGGCGCACAAATATTTTAAAAAATATGCATACCTCTTTTATGCCTCTGGTAAGCATTTCCCACCTGTTGAGCAACTTGCACAGCTCCACAACTGGCAAATCTCTGCATAAACATAAAAATGGATTTACATACGCTAATCTTAAATCCAACAAGCAGCTTGATTATAAGAATGAGATAAAAGAAAGGACCCATTTGAATTAAGTCAAAAGTAGTATTGATTCTTTCAGGAAATGTTTGCTATTAACTTTAACAAGTACAGCACAGTAATCCATTTTTTCCATTTACATATTTCGGATACTAATTTTGGCTGGGTATCATTCCACAAACTTTGGCTTTTAAAATCAATCCAGTCTACATTATGGAAATGCAAGAAATATTGAGTCACTGTCAGACATTTTTTTCTGACCAAAAGTCAAGCTAACTATTACCTGACTCTCTGTATTGCCCAACCAACATAACCTTCCTTTTTCGGGCAGCCAATAGAATCATGATTATGTAGCGACATGGTATTATGCTTTGGCAATTGCATGTGATCAGGTGAATTAGAGTTGTCTGGCCCAGGTTCAAGTACCTCACAGTATAAATCTAACAGGGTAGTTTTGCGGTACTTTCCAACTTCATACAGGCACTGCAACAAACTTACTTAGTCAAGTACAGAAATTCCCTTCGTCAGTTTAAGTCTACTCATGACGTATTTTAGGCTTACAATTTCAAAATGAAGAAAACTAATGACCTCCGTGAATGAAGTTTAGCAATAGAGTACGATCTAACAACTAACTTGGGATCTTACCATAACCGTAGAGCTCCATAGCTTTCGGAGTCTTTTCATATCCGACAAGCCATTTGCCCAGTTGGCAGAGTTAGCGCTACGTTGACAGTACCTTGTAGAATATTAGCTTACCAATATCAGAAACCTATGTATTTCAAGTTAACATGTCAATGGCTTTCAAACTTCAAAGACAAATCATTCTTCAAAACCTTTGAAAAGATGGAATATCACGAGCCTGCTTGAGGAAAGTTTCTGTGAGTAAAATACTGTTGTCGTCAAAATCCTGCAATGGGAAATAGCAAATGTGGCTGGAGAATAGTTTTCACCAATATAGAAAACTACGAATAGAATATAGAGCTTTTAATAGTGGACAAGAGAAATGGATGCAACAGGAAATGTTATAGTTAAAAAGTTCAAGAGAACACCATACTTCAGGATACATTCTAATGCTGATTCTTGATTACCTTCTAATCTAGTTTGAAAATATTAATCTAAATAACAAAGAAATATAATCATCAAATGCAGGACTAATTCATTTCCAATCACTATAGGTATGTAACGTGAGGCAAATGTAAAAATATCAAGAAAAATGGGGTATATGCAAATTTTGAACTCAAAAACAAAGTTTACAATATATCACAAACAAACACATAAAGAAGAGGGAATTTTCTAAAATTATAAATAGATAACTTGATCTTGCCTTGGAACTTACTTCATCAACTAATTTCCGAAAAGTGCATCTTAAAAAAGGAGCCGCACAAACATGTTGGACCATAGCAATCTGGAAAACACTTGCCGCAAACATAAAGATTAAGTGAAGACATATCGTATGGATATAAGAGGCTCACCACCTCACACAAACATATAGCAAATATGTTATTTAAAAAAAAGATTAAGGTTTGCTACTGACCTTTAAAGCTCTAAGAAATAATGTTAAAGTTCCATCATGTCTTAAGAAGTAATTTCTGAGGAAAGTTGACACCTGTTTACCAACACTGAAGCGTTGACATCTTTTCAGAAGAACAGCCTCGATGACAGCATCCATCCTTTCAGCTGGGGTTCCCAAGGTGAATTCACAGACAGATAGATACAAGAAACCATTCGAGGTTAGAGTGCTTCTTAGAGAATCAACAGTCGTCGCCACGCCCAGTATCAAAATTATTGGAATTTTTATTACCCATTCCCTGTCAAGACCAAGGTTGTTAGGATCTATAGGGCAGATGGTCTTGAACGAACAAAATGAGAAAATTCGAGCGTGCAAGTGAACATACTATGTATCTGTAAGATCAAAACATATAATACGGTAATTGCACATACAATTACATTTGCGTCAAGAATGAATACGGGTCATTTGAGATACAAAATAGCTGCTATACCTCAGCATAATAATGAAATCATTCAAGACAGGACCATAGCATCTTTCCACGTCTTCAATTATCAGAACGAGTGGGTTCTCATTGTTCCCTTTTTCAGTATACCATGATGCCAAGATGGACATTTCAGGAGCCTATCATGAAAGAAACAACAAAGCCAGTAACAATTATTAGCTCTACAAGAATTCAACATCTGCTGAAGAATTATATTTCACCCTAGTTAAATTAATTGAGGCATGTAGTTGGTTGCATGCTTACATCAATGTCGACCATCAGAAACTGTCTCAACAAAGTTTTAAGACAACCACCTACTCCATTCTTTGCAGAAAAGTCCAAGGATGAAAAATTGGCTACATAACATCCCCGGGATTTCAAATGTTCACCAAGGTCCGAAAATGTCAATATATCATCAACAAATTCCATGTTTTCTGCAAATCATAAAGATTAAATAATAAGCCCCCGACAATCTCAACATTCATAACCTTCTTAATCGCAACAATGCCAGTAGCACTCAATAAAATAACGTCCGGGATACATAGTGAAGAGTACAATTTGATTATCAACCGAAACTCAACAATACATTAAATCAGAAGAAATTAGAATATCTTTCATGGAGCAAAACTTACTTGTGAAAAGCAATCCCGTGAAAATTTGTCTGGATGCACCTGGTACAGCAATTGATGCATTATCTAGAATCGGGTACGGGCGTGTGGAACTTGCGGAATCAAGAGTTTTGCAGGCACGAATGGCATCGAATGATATATGAACCCATTTATCAATTTCATCAAACACATTGACGTTTAGATTTTTCAAAACATCCTGAATTTAAGTAGGGAAAAAAAAATTAACACAGTGGTGCTATCAGTAAATAAAGTGCGTCAACTAATCTATGTTAAAAAAAAAAACATAATCAGAGAAATTTACCTTAATAACTGACTCGGTGTTGGACGAAAGAAATTTGAAGGTTTCAAATCGCAAGTTATCAATATGTTCTTCTGTAGACCCATCGGCGGTTCTGGGCGATAGATCGATTTTCCGTCGGGTTTTTGCGGCGGGTTTGCGCGGAGAGGCCTTGTGAAGAATGAAGAAAGGCTGCAAAAATGTGCGAAATTTTACAATCCGCTTCGTAAAAATTTACTCAGACCGTACAATCAAAATACTTACCTGTAGGTTGCTTTCTGCTATGGGAATCGACGGCGAGGATGGTATATCAGCCACCGGAGCCATTTTGATTCTCTGCGCTCTCTCTCTCTCTCTCTCCTTCGCTCGCTTTAGGTTAACTCTCTAGTTTTGGCGGGAAAATAAGAGGGTGAAGGAGTGCAACCAGTAACATGTGAGTTGTACCCCCAAACTTCCAGAAATAGTCATTTAAGTCCCATCACTTTGTCAATTTCATTTTCCTTGTTATATATTTTTTCTTTTAATATATATAGTAGATGAAAATGGGTGTGGCAAGTAAATTATTATTATTTATTTGGCAAAGTTTAAAAATTAATTTTTAAGTCAAAACAATAATTATTCAATCATCTATGATCAAAATCTTGATACTATACTATATTGATTATATATTCCAAAATAATTTATCGACAAATGCTACTTTGAAACTTCCAGAGAGAGATCGCGCGTTAAACAGATTATTTTATAAAGTTTATTGTATTCAACACCCCTATGTTATTTCGAGTTACTACAAAAACTGTGTTAAAATTTTAAACAAACATACTCTTGTGATAATTATTTATTATTTTGGTGCACACCTCACTATATGATGCGTTTTTAGGGGTATTTTGGTTAATATTTATAAGATAGGGATTTATTTTATGAAGTTAAAGTAAACAAGGGTGTTAAAGAAACATATCCAATATTATGAACAAGGAGCAAAAACATTTGAACACTTGATGAAACTTTATTGCTTTTTGATGCTGAAAGCACCATAATTCAGTGCCAAAGTACAATCAAAAGAGAAATGAAAACAGAAGAAGAAAACAGAAGAAGAAGGAGAGCAGTTCACACATTTCCAATTTTTATACAATTCGAAGTGATTCTCAGTTGTAAGAAGAGCTCCTGAATGATCCCAGAGCTTTAACTGCCCCAGCCCTTAGAATATACTGATGGTAGATTGCAGCAATGGCAGCTCCGATGAATGGTCCAACCCAGAAAATCCACTGTTACAAAAAATACATCGTTACATCAGTTGCAGGTAAAGTGTTCGATGAAATGCTCAGCTGAGTTTTTTCTTTTTTTTCTTTTTTTGTTCTTACCTGATCATCCCATGCCTTATCTTTTCCATATATCACCGCAGCTCCGAAACTCCTCGCCGGATTGATTCCAGTTCCGGTGATCGGGATTGTGGCCAAGTGAACCATGAACACAGCAAACCCAATCGGAAGCGGTGCCAAAACCTGCCAAAAAAAAAAACCCCAAATTAATTTCAAGAAAGAAAGATGAAAAAAGATCCCTCTTTTTTGTGTGTGTTTTATTGTTCTTACAGGAACATGGGAGTCTCTAGCACTTCTCTTGGGATCAGTAGCAGAGAACACGGTGTAAACAAGAACGAAAGTTCCGATAATCTCCGCCGCGAGTCCAGTGCCTTTACTATACCCCAACGCCAGCTCGTTCGCCCCACCGCCATGCTCGACATAGTAACTCTTCTGAAAAGCCTTAACCAATCCACACCCGCAGATAGCCCCCAAGCACTGTGCTATAATGTACAGCACAGCTCTCACGAGAGACACCTTTCTGGCCAAGAACAGCCCGAATGTGACAGCTGGATTGATGTGCCCGCCGGAGATTCCGGCTGTGCAGTAAACGAGGACAAAGATCATGCCGCCAAAGGCCCACGCTATGCCTAGAATGCCTACGCCGCCACAGCCGTCGGCGGCACTCTGGCTCTTGTAGCCGATCACGGTTAGGACCGTGATGTAGAGGAACAAAAGGGTGGCGGTGAACTCGGCGATTACGGCTCTGTATAGAGACCATTTGGTTAGCTCTTCGGAGTCGATGAGTGGTGCTGGCGGTGGGTCGTGGTAGTCTTTCGCCCCGTATTCATGAGCGGCGGCTCCTCCCTCGATATCCTTCGCCATATTCGGCACGTTTTTTTTTCTTGTTATTACTCTGTGTTCTTGAGTGTGTGTGTTGTAAGATGTAGTAAGCAATGTGTTTGTGTTTTTTTCTTGGTGATGAGTATGATGTGGAGGTTTGAGGGGTATTTATATGGGAATTTATTGAATAAATTAATTGTCTAAAATTGAATTATTGCCGCCCCATTTATGAATTTGGATTTTATTTTTTTATGATTTGAAGTGGCCCTACCATTCAAATAACACACTTCTATTTTGAGCTTCAGTCATGGTTAGGGGTGTGAACGAGCCGAGCTCGAGCCGAGCTCGCCTCTTTTGGTTGGCTCGAGCTCGAGCTCGAGTTTATTTTGTCGAGCTCGAGCTCGAGCTCGAGCTCGTCGAGTTCTTCTTTTTCTGGCTCGAGCTCGAGCTCGTGTTAATTTTGTCGAGCTCGAGCTCGAGGCCAATCCCTTGTTTTTTTTTTTTTTTTTTCTTTTTTTAAATATTATTTTATTATTATTTTATTATTAAAAAATATTTTAAAAAATTACAAAATAAACACAAAATTGTGATTATATATTTTTTTAATATTTGTATTTATTTCTATAATATTTTATATTATTATACATTTTTAAATAAAAATAACATATAAAAAATAAAAAATAATAAAAAAAAAAAATATATTAATAAATCCGGCTCGCGAGCCGGCTCGCGAGCTGATGAACAACTAAAATCGGGCTCGAGCTCGGCTCGTCAGAAAGCTCGAGCTCGCGAGCTCGAGCTCGAGCTCGAAAACCTCGAGTCCGAGTTCGAGCTTTTTACGAGCCGGTTCGTCGAGCTCACGAGCCGGCTCGGCTCGTTTACCACCCCTAGTCATGGTGATGAACTGTTTGTGTTAATTCTTTTTTCTTTCGAATTAAAATTAGACTAAACAAATAAATTTATTTATCGTAAATCAAGGTCACTCCTGAGATAAGATCAAATTACGAAAAAATCACTCGTGTTTGGATAATTACAATCACCCGGTAACTGTGAATTTTCTTACATATCCACTTTTGCGGTGTCAAATTTAGTGAAATATTCTAGATTATGTGGGATATTCTCTAATTTGTACTTGTTTTACCCCATTCGAGATCTGTATATTGGCTTGTAAATATCAGATTGTGGTGCATTAGAACTGTATTTTTGCACGAAATGAGTACAAACTAGAGAACATTCAACAGAATTAGAATATTATGTTGCATTTGACATCATAAGGACGGATGTGTAAGAAGATTCATAGTTGATGAGTGTTTGTAAATACTCAAACATGAGGGGTTTTCTCGTAATTTCCATAATTTATCTAATTTAAAATAAAATTATAAAATGGGGTGGAGATGTCAAATCAAAAGACCGACCATCAATCATGAAAGCGAGCCAATAACAAGCAAATAAACATCACCACCACCGCCCCTCCCCAACTACGGACGGACCCACCACTATTATCTCGCCACCTCACCACGGCCGCCGCCGTGTCACCATCTCTATCCACCGCCCACCAATCATTTGTGCTAAACATCTATTTATTTATCACTTAATCATCCAATTATCTATGTCTAATACAGCTAACGTCAAAAATTCCTGAAAATGAATGATGGTCTCTGGCTGGACACGTGTTAATTAGATAACCATTTTCATTAGGTATTTTCTTGTGATTGTGGACTAGCTTACTTGGTCGGTACAAAAAATAATATTGCCTTGTGAATTATTGTGGACATGATTATTAATGCATTTGTTAATAATATCATCTAAATAATAGGTTTTTTTTGTTTCGACTCTCGGTAAAAAAATAATAAATTATTAGTTTAATAATGTAATATTTTGTTGAATTAATAAAAATTTCGCTAGTTCTGATTGTATTAATTTATGGAGGTTTAACTCGTTTTTTAAAATAAATTTCATTGAAATTAATATTATTTCTTATTAATTTTGGAAGTAACTTAACCTGAAGTTCCATTTTTGTACCAAAAAGATATTTACGTCAATTGATCAATTAATTAACCTTCACTTTAATAGTAGACGGAAAAATATACTCGGCCTAAAATGAATGTATTGCCCTATTACAAGCAAATTCCTCTTATGGATCCTGCATTGAAAACGATATTAAATTTCGTATTTTGTTGCATCATCTAAAACACGTGTGCAACTGTTCAATTCATCGAATGTATGCATGGTAAGGTGTAAATGGGTTGAGTACTCGGCTCGACAAAAACTACAACTCGAACTCGATTTTTCCGATCTTCAGCATTCAGACAAGGCAAGCATGAGCTCATTCTTATTGAAATAAGGCTAGAATTCGACTCGTTTACACCCCTAATCAAAAGTGGTTTAATTACATATCTAGCTTTTTATCCCATCTTGTAAGATTCTGCAAAATTTATTATGAAGGTAAAAAAAATATGTTATTGATGATGCTAAAGTTAGATCACCTTAGAGTGTTGAAGTAGGATGAGCTGGAAGAACAGAGTGGATCACTGGCTCACGAGCTTGATGACCTTGAGATACCTGCAATCATAGAACACATGAACTAAGCCGGGGTTGATCCGGCGGAAACCCCTCCGACGCTCAAGTCAGACGTGCTGATCATAAAAAATAGTCCAGAGAATACAGTTGTAGTATTGCTCAGTTAATAGGACGTACTTTAAGGAATGAGTTCAAACCCTTATTTATAGCTTAGTGGAGATTGTCGGGCCAAACCTTACTTGAAGATGATTGGGCCTCGGTAGTAGTGGTCTTCGATATTGGGCTCGTGGCCCAGTAGGTAAATAATTTATAGGCTTATTGGGTTGACCCAAATAGGCATATCATTAAGCCCCCCACTCTCGAGTCGATGTGGGGGCCATGTTGAAATGGGTGTCAGATCGTGTCGAGAGTAAAAATTGTAGGAGTCGATGGTGTGCGAAAACGCGTTGGAGCGTGTGTCGGAGGGGCGTGAATGCGCGTTGGCGCGTAGCGCAACTAAGTTGTCGCGATGTAAGTTACTTGAGTCGTCGGTGTTGTCCCGCGATGATGTAATAGCTCAGATCAAGTTATCTCCTCGTGGGAGTTGTCTCGTCATTCTCCTCGTGGGAGTTGTTATTTATCGACATTGTCAATGTTGTGACGCGTTGCTTGTATGTGTTTACATATAACCTTGTGCGTGATGTACTTGAGGAGGGGATCAGGCTCTCAAGATTTTTTATGGGGGATCGTGCCCCTTGTTAGACCTCGTGGGCCGTAAGTGTGTTTGGACCGTGGCCACGTTATGAATGACCCATCGAAAACAAGTAGATAAATTTGAGTAATCAAAACTGGCCAGGCTATATAGATTCTCATAATATCTCCAAGTGTTTCTAGGGTGGTAATCGTGCTAACTTGAGCTTGCGATTATATAGTGAATTTCGGGCGAGTTGCCTCCTCATGGGAGTTGTCTCGCAGTGAAGTTGTAGGAGCATTGGATGACGCGCGACTGAGGAGCGTGCGGATTGAGGTCGCTCTGAGCGATTTGACTCCTCGTGGGAGTTGTCTCGCAGCGAGTCTTATTATCGAACGAGGTGGCTGCACATGGGAGTTGCCTTGCAACAGATTTGTAGTGCCGAGCGAGTTGGCTCCTCGTGGGAGTTGTCTCGCTGAGGGTTCGTAGTATCGAGCGAGTTGGCTCCTCGTGGGAGTTATCTCGCAAGGGGTTGTAGGACCGAGCGAGTTGTCTTCTCTTGGGAGTTGTCTCGCTGCGGATGCTGCTGGTTGTAGGACCGAGCGAGTTGTCTACTCGTGGGAGTTGTCTCGCTGCGGGATGTAGGACATAGCGAGTTTGCTCCTCATGGGAGTTGTCTCGCTGCTGGTTGTAGGACCGAGCAAGTTTGCTCCTCATGGGAGTTGTCTCGCAAGGGTTGTAGTACCGAGCGAGTTGGCTCCTCGTGGGAGCTATCTCGCAACGGGTTTGTAGTATCGAGCAAGTTGGCTCCTCGTGGGAGTTATCTCGCTGTAGTTTCGTAGATCCGAGGGAGTTGGATCCTCGTGGGAGTTGCCTCGCAACGGGTTTGTAGGACCGAGCGAGTTGACTCCTCGTGGGAGTTGTCTCGCTGCGGGTTGTGGTACCGAGCGAGTTGGCTCCTCGTGGAGTTATCTCGCTGTGGGTTGGCAGTACCGAGCGAGTTGTCTCCTCGTGGGAGTTGTCTCGCTGCGAGTTGGTAGTACCGAGCGAGTTGTCTCCTCGTGGGAGTTGTCTCGCTGCGGGTTGGTAGTACCGATCGAGTTATCTCCTCGTGGGAGTTATCTCGCAAATGGGTTGTAGGACCGAGCGAGTGGTCTCCTCGTGAGAGTTATCTCGCAAGCCTCCCACTCTCGAGACGATGTGGGAGCCAGGTCGAAAAGGGTACCGGATCGTGTCGAGAGTAGATCGATGTTGTGGTGTATCATGAATTGTTGGCGTGGTGTGGAAAAATAATAATTTTTATTTATCCATGTGAGAGCGTGGGCGATTTGATGAGGTGCGTTGGAGAGCTCGCGCAATTTGGTGGAGCGCGTTGAAATTCTTGAGCGATTTGGTGAAGCGAGGTGAAATTCGCGCACAATTTGATAGAGACCAGCGAGAGTTGCGCGCTCCAATGCAGGAGGCGGCGCGGTAGGAAGAACGTGCGCGCGCGCGTATTGGAATGTGCGGTGCCTTGGGAAGGCGCGCGCTTTTAATACCAGGAGAGAGAAGCTGTGAAAGCTTCCTGAGGGGGTCGTGCCGCATTTACTTCATGATGTAGAGAGAGAGTGAAGAGCTGCAAGGCTTTATGGGGTGTCGTGCATTTAATTCATGTGTGGAGAGAGAAAAATAAAGTGACGGCGATTTGACAAGGGGAAAGATGCTGCTGGTGCGTGGCCCACACGTGCGCGTCACGCGTCAGCGCGTGGCTGTCATACGCTTTTCACTTTTTTTTTTTTTTTTTTTTTTGGGAATTGATGCGCGCGCCCCTCGAGACTTGGAGGCGCGCGCGCGGCTTGGAGGGGGCGGTCGGCTTCGCTCGACTTGTTTTTTTTTTTCTTTTTTCATCTCTTTATTTTTCTTCTTTTTCTTTTTCTTTTTCTTTTTTCTCCATCTTCTTTATTTTTCTTTTTCTTAGTTTTCTTTTTTTTTTTCTCATCTTCTTCTTTTTTGTTCTTTTTCTTTTTCTTTTTTCTCCATCTTCTTTATTTTTCTTCTTCTTCGTTTTCTTTTTTTTCTCACCTTCTTCTTTTTTGTTCTTCTTCGTTTTTTTTTTTTCCCATCTTCTTATTTTTTCTTCTTCTCTTTTTCTTCTTCTTTCTTTTTAGGTGGTTGATGTTCACCCCTTGGAGATGTTTTTTTTTTTTTTTTTTTTGAGTATGGAGATTATACTCGTCTCTTGAGATGGGATATGCACCCACTTGGGGTTGAAAGATAAGGGTGATGCCAACCTTGGAATGGGATAGCCATCTACTTTAGAATGAGGCGCTCGAACCTATGGTCTGAGGTGGATGCGCACGGTTGTGACATTGTTTCAGTGGCAACACGAGTTGAAACTTTCGCGGTCGTACGCTGAAGGTCCTTATCGGTTATCTGAACCGTTAGAGGAGCAAGTAGAAGTTGATCTCGTTGTAGGTTCGGTGATAATACGCTGAAGGTCCTCTTCGGTGATCTGAACCGTTCGAGGGGGACGGAGGTAGGTTCCCATTGAGTCGATAACCCGTGGCGAACGAAATGTTTTGGGGGCATTGTAAACCCCAGGGAGTCGATAACCCTTGGCGAACGAAATATTTTGGGGGCAGATGTAAGCCCCTAGGGAGTCGATAACCCTTGGTGAGCGAAATGTTTTGGGGGCAGATGTAAGCCCCCAGGGAGTCGATAACCCTTAAACTAGGTGCAAAGAACCAACCAGACTGGCCTAGTGGATAAATCAGGAATACAGAAACAAAAACAGCAATTGGACCAGAAAATGCGATTGCATCATAAGGTCGCAATTGAACAGATCGAGCAAGCTCAAATTGACGTAACATGAAACCTATTAGTCCGAACGCACCATGCAGAGCAACAAAAGTCCACAGACCACCTAATTGACACCAACGAGTAAAATCCCCTTGTGCTTCAGGACCCCATAGTAACAATAAAGAATGCGCTAAACTATTAGCAGGAGTAGAAACTGCGGCCGTTAAGAAATTACAGCCTTCCGTCTCGAAGACTGAATGTAGCTGCCAACTGGCGAGCGAAATGTTTTGGGGGCACTATAAACCCCCAGGGAGTCGATAACCCTTGGCGAGCGAAATGTTTTGGGGGCAGATGTAAGCCCCCAGGTAGTCGATAACCCTTGGTGAGCGAAATGTTTTGGGGGCACTATAAACCCCCAAGGAGTCGATAACCCTTGCTGGCGTTGAATGGCCTCATCGATTCTCTGAACCGATTAAGGGGCGGAAAGAAGTGGATCATGTTGATGATCTAGTGGGACATCACGAGGAGGGTCTCGTGGTGGATCCCGAGCACGGGGAGAAGTGACAAGCTAGAGCCTCCACGAGGTGGGAGGTTGTTAGCAGTGTCACACTCTCCTAAGCAGATGTCTCAAGGCCATCATATGCGCTACGTGATTGTGTGCCTTCCCACAGACGGCGCCAAAATGATGATGCTAAAGTTAGATCACCTTAGAGTGTTGAAGTAGGATGAGCTGGAAGAACAGAGTGGATCACTGGCTCACGAGCTTGATGACCTTGAGATACCTGCAATCATAGAACACATGAACTAAGCGGGGGTTGATCCGGCGGAAACCCCTCCGACGCTCAAGTCAGACGTGCTGATCATAGAAAATAGTCCAGAGAATACAGTTGTAGTATTGCTCAGTTAATAGGACGTACTTTAAGGAATGAGTTCAAACCCTTATTTATAGCTTAGTGGAGATTGTCGGGCCAAACCTTACTTGAAGATGATTGGGCCTCGGTAGTAGTGGTCTTCAATATTGGGCTCGTGGCCCAGTAGGTAAATAATTTATAGGCTTATTGGGTTGACCCAAATAGGCATATCAGTTATTTATCTTAATTTCAAAAGCTCAATATTAAATAATCTCAAACCACTATAATTAATCCTCCTCCGTTCATGATTATCTCATAAGATAAAATACAATATACTTTTTGGTGATGGTAAAAATGGGGATTAACAGCAAAATTAATAAAGGCAACTCATCTTCCACAGATGAACAATCAATCACCACAAAAGATAATTTTACAAGACAATATTCCTAATAATCTGGTTTTGCTGTAACTAATTTAAGGTTAAACATAATTATTTGCACACTAAGCTGCTGCTTTTCTTCACAGTGGCTGGAGAAGAAAAAAACTGATCACCAGAAATTTCAAATTCATCCTCTGTAATTGTCTCCAGACTGGGAGAAGTGGATGTTTTTTTAGGACAAATAACAGCAGCCGGGGCAACCTCGATCCAACAACTCAATAACCCGACCCGTTTTGCCATCGAATCAAAATTGTTTTTTTTTTCTTTTGATAGAGTAGAGTTTAGTGATGAATTGTTTCAATGAGAAAAATGGAATTGGTATTAGCGGATTTATAGGTGGTGGGGGTTCCTCGGAATTATAGTGGAATGAACACGCATATTAATATATCTCTCTCGTTTAACTTAAGAAAAACATGTTTCGCACGTGCTTAAATGGGAAGCACTCACGTAGTAGATTAATATGTGGTGATTTTTTATTTATTTATTTATATATATGTATATAATTATTAATTATAATGTGTGGTGTTGCCGATTGGATGGATGAAATTTGCAATTGAATTAAGACAAGATAACAAAAATAATCAAGTCCGAAACGAAAAATAATCAGTTGGGCCCGAGCCCGAAAATTCAAGAAACAGCATTTATGAAAAACTATACATAATAGATTAGACAAAATGACCTAAAGAGAATGGAAAATAATCTAGTGTGAGGGTACATTATTTTTACAAAACTTGTATATTTTATTTTTCTACATTAGACAAAGAAGAAGAAGAAACAAAAGTTATCTATCATCATCTTCCTCGTCGATTTCTTCAAAAATCGTCTCTAATTCTGGAGTGTTCGAAGGCTTATATGGGTATACAACCGGTTTTGGGGCAACCTCCATCCACAAATTCAACTTTTTACCGATGCACCTCGCCATTTTATAATTTATCAGAATATATTTGACAAATTATTATTTCAGTTTCTAAAAGAAAACACGAAACGGGTTACAGCCCTCTTTCCTCCTGGGTCTAGAAAGAAAGAGAGAGATTCAAAAAATCTTGGAGATACTATTATTTTCTTTTGTGATACTAAATCGAATTTGATGAGATAAAAAAAAAAAAAAAAAAAGAGTAATATATATGAAGGACATTCCGAATTTCTTGCCATAAAAATTGAGGTGCACGAGCAATAATGTACGGACAGTGAAATCACCACGAGAATAACCTTGTTGTTTATAGCCAACTTTAGTATAAATTAGTTTCTACCAACCATTGAGACAGGTTTATACTATATTACACGGCTGAAATGGATCTTTAACATTCATATACACACACACACACCCACATCGGTGTGAAGATTAACCATTGAAAGACAAGTTGAGAATTCTTTTGAATGAACATACACAATACAAAATATGAAGCACATCAAATATGTATAACATTTGAACCACTTCTTGCTCTTCAACGACAATGAAGAGTGTACAAAAATCCTCCAAAAACATCAACGACAGGCAGATTTTGAAATTTCATATCACATTTTAGAGTTGCGATTAATACATATATAGCAATTATGTAGCAACGACATACCAAGAATCACCAAAAGCATAAACGAACAGCAAGATTTACCGTTAAACTCTAAAACATAAACGAGGATATATACATTGAAATTTAGCATTAAACAAGATCAGGGTAAATAGTAAACAAGATTATCACCAATTCAAAGAGAACCAACTTACTGCAACTAGTAAACGACTAGGTTTCACCTACGCTAGCCAATATAAACTTCACTGGATTATATCCTACAATACAAATGCATACAGATACATTCATATTTTCACACAAATTCACATGAATCTGTATATATTTTCAAGTGAAAAATGACACAATAATCGCGAGAACTAACAAATTAAACAGTTCAAAATAACTTTTTCACAAGCACAATATGTTGAAGAAGTTTCAACATTGAATACGAAAACGAAATGCAAAATTATCCGCAGCAAAATCGAAACAGTAATCACCAAAATTTAACTTAAAAGAGTAAAATGCAGAAGCAAAATTCATCACTATGAAAACCAGGCATTCAAATTAAAACAAAAAAAAAACACTGAAAAGAAAAAAGCACAAAAATTAAAAAAAACTAATATAACAAAATCCAAAACCTAGAAAAGAGAAGATTCAGCAAAATAACAAAATCCAGAGAAAATAATCAATCGAGAGGAACCTCAACATCACCGTCGGAGATCTCCTGCTGCAGATCCTTGGGGTCCTTTCCGTCGACGGTACATCCAACAGAAACGCACGTGCCGAGGATCTCCTTCACAGTTCCGGCGAGCTCCTTCGCCATGGACCGCGGCCGCATGATCTTCGCGATCTCTACGACGTCGTCGAGCGCGATGTTGCCGTTGTGCTTGATGTTCTTCGTCTTCTTCCTGTCGCGCTCGGGCTCCTTCAGCGCCTTGATGACAAGCGCCGCCGCGGAGGGGACGACGGTGACCTTGGCCTGACGGTTCTGCACCGTCAGCTTGACGGTGACGCGGAGGCCCTTCCAGTCCTTGGCGGTCTCCTTTGCGATGTCCTCACCGATTTTTTTGGGGGAGAGACCGAGCGGACCGATTTTGGGGGCGAGTGACGACGCCGCTCCGACTTCTCCTCCGGTGACCCGGACGTAGACGTCGACGACCTGGCTCGGGTCGAACTTCGGCGGCATTTTGAAGCTTTAGGTGGTGTTGCGCTTAGAAATGGTGGAGGAGCGGCGGCGGTGTTGGGAGTGTTTTAGGTGTGCTGATAGTTTTATTATGCTTATATTTAACTAGGGTTTTGCCGAGATGAAATTGAATTGGGTTTTTGTTAGCTGCTGGCCCAATTAAATTCAAATGCTTAATGGGCTTCGTTGAAATTGTTCGGCCCAATTGAAATTGTCTGGCCAATAAATTTATTGGTATAATCCTAATTGTCACGTGAGCCTCACGTGCGCATTTGTACTTTATTTTTATAGCGTATGATAATAATAATAATAATGATTCATAACATAAAGTAAATATGTCATCTCGTGCTCTCCACCTTAAATTAATAAACAAATCAAATAGAGCAATGTATGTATGTATGACGTTTTATCGAGATTTCAAAATTGTGTTTTAGGGCACGAGAATCAATGTACTTTAATCAAGTCAAACACGAAATGCGTGGGCAGCTTGTTTTTTTGTACATATAAATCATTTCTTTTATTCTAATTATCGAGTTTCATTGTTCATTCAACAAAAAAAACATTTTCGAGCCAGTTCGTTATGTTATGTCCAACTTGATGTCAAAAGATTTATTTTGGCGAATGAAGTACCGATTGTTTCTTTCGGTTCTATTTTCATTCTTATAGTAGTTATAACTTATAAGTTGTTTGATTAATTAAAATTAATTTTAGAAACTTTTTTGTTATTGAATAATGTAATCTTTTTCTTAGGTGCGGCATAGTTTCATATCTATACCTAGAAATTATCGTGTGATCGATCTTGTAAGAGAAAAAAAAACAATAAAATAACATAAAAAAGGTATTTTTTATATATTGTTAGCTTTGCAGCAACAAAATCTCACAAAGTCCAAAATAATTAGGCAGCCATATTATAAAAAGAGCTGCAGAGTTAGCTAGCCGGTCAATAATGACGATACTAATCTTGAATTAATTAATTTAAAAGAGATAACAGTGATCTAACTTTATCTGACACAGTAGGTAGTGATCATTACCTTTGACGAAAATATAATCAACTTTTTAAAAAGACTTAAAACTGATTAATTATTACTAATTGTGATCAAAGTCTGGTGCAAAGTAAAAATCCGCTGATTATAGACCATGGTTTGATACACGTATATAAATATTTAATAATTTAATATAATAGATGACGAAAAAACTGCGTATACGGACAAAAGTTGAAGCGGTGTAATAATTTGTGCAACTTATACGGGAGCAATTTAATCCATGTGTTTGAAGCTGCTATTCCCACCTAACACGACTCTTTGAAAATGTTAAAACACGTTTTCTACTGCACTAAATTACTCCTTAAATTAATACATTAATACTACTGTGTAGTACGCATGCTTCAAAAGGATGGCATGTCGTGCAGGAAATCTCCTCGGTTAAATTAAACCCGATATTAATTAACCAATAAGCAGGATAATTAGGTGAAACTAAGTTTGAAAAAAGCTTTTGGTGTTTGAAAAAATACAGCAGCAGCTTTTTTGATTTAATAATTAATGGTGTTCGAGTAGTTTCGGATAAGGACAAAACCGTGAATCCTTGTACAATTAGAGCATGGGTGGTGATATACGCAGGCCAAATTAAACATTCAGGCACTTTTTTACCATGGTTTTTTACCTTTTTACCATAACTATTTACCTTTTGTACTATTCCTATCAAATCCTATAAAAAAAGAAAACTCAACATTCAAAGTGAAAAATTTCAGATATTCAACAATTTTTGCGATGGATCCAAACAACTTAGACCCGAATGTAAGTTTTTCGTTTTTTTCCCGAAAATTCATCTACTCGTGTGAATTTACGTGAGCACTTGCCCAGTGCTCGCGTAGATTCCCCCCGGCTCAGAACCATTCCCTATTCTTGAGCTCGTGTG